AATGAGTTTAGAACGAAAGAATATTGTGAGGCGCTGCGTGACGCCTTTTCCACCCAAGGAAACCATTATAGCGCCTAACCAAGGTGAAACATGCCAATTCAGACGCAAGAACCCCCACACAAATGGCCGCACAGTCACATCGACGCTAGTACTGTCATCGCTTCATTTATGAAGTGCAGTTGACATGAAGCGTAGCTACATGGATAAATAAATAAATGCGTGCAAATGTGTCTATCAAAGCCGTTGTTGGCACGATGCCAAAGGGAAACTCGTCCAAAAATGCGCATCCATACCGTGTAGGGCGAGGGGTTCTTCTCGCAGGTTTTTGGCCGTTCAACTTCGTTCCTCGTCCTTCCTGCAACTGCTTTTGAGCAATCACCAAACTGTCGTGCCCCATGCCCTTAATTGTGTATCCCTACTAGTAGTGCAGAGTCATTTACGCTAAGCTTTGCGTATCTCTCATTAGAGCGCCACTGCCTTATTCTATAGAATGGGCAACCCACCAGGAAAAAGCTGCGCGGAACAGATGAATTAATCCATATGAAGGTCCAGATAGCTCAAAGGCGGATTGTAGAATGTGCCTTGGAGCTATCTGGATGTTCAGGTGAGCTTTTAAGAACCTATCTGGATAGACATATTTACTTTGAGCTGATGTGAAGTTTGCTTCGCTGAAAATACAGGGAGAATCTTCACATAATTTCCACTTAAATATTGAAATAGAGTACTTAAGCTCGTCGAACATGGCTCCATGTCAGAGGTCATGCTATTGGAGTTGGAGATCTACCGAAAGATGATCGAGTGCGAGGAGAAGAGGTCGGTTTTATCACCCACTTTCTACAACTTACTGCATCTGTCTGTCTGTCTCTCTCTTACAAGGGAAGGATACCAACTCGTCCTGGCCATTCAGAATGAGATGTATACTCCTAGGAGCGTCTCCGGATGCTGATATCAGATCTGACTTCCAAATCTGCTAAACGATTCTGGTGGAGAGTTACGGACCTTTTTTGCTACCGTGCTTAACCATTGCGGATGCGACCCCTGCATCGCTTTGCGCTCCGTAAACCCCTCAGTAGACCCAGCTGCTCTACGTGCTTCGTGGCGCAGCATGGAACGGTCGATGGATTCATAGAACTCGCTCAGACGGGGTATACGAGCGCAAAGCATGGCAGCAGGTGCACCGCACGTTTAAGACAATGTAAGCAAAAAGAAAGGCCGTAACTTTCACTCCGCAGAATCGCTTTAGCAGATTATCGGAAGTCAGTCTGATTATCAGTATCCGGAAGACGCCTCCCAGGAATATAAAAATACTCATTCTGACACGGCGCGGGCAGGTGGGTGAGTCTCTGGTGAGGGTTGGCATCATATCCTCTCGTTCAGTTCCGGTTGCTTTCTCCAGAATAAACGAATCCTGGGAGAGTTCACTTGGAGAACAAACTTGGAGAGAGTCTGGGATTGTTAAAGGCTTGGATGGGTAGGGCAAGGGACATGACGTAATATCATTATACACAACCAATGTGTAACCTACTGCTGCACGTGCGCATGAGGCATACGCGCTGCTAGTCAGCGGCTGTCACACGAAAAGAAATCATTATTTTTATTGCTCCAGAGCAGCTACGATAGGGCGGCGAAAAGTGCACACACGATTCAGCAAACGGCGCACCGCACCAGATTGGTGGCCGTGTGACACGACAACCTTTTGTCGTTCACACAACAGAAGGAGTTGTGAAGAGCATTCGATAAGAGCGCGTCAGAAAGGGTAAGCCAGTGTATATTCACAAGCTGCGCAATTCACACATCAGTGAGGGCGCGCTTGTTCCAGGAAAAAGGAAGATGGAGAGGGTGGGCATATTGACGATTCAGTAGTGGGCGACAAAATCCTATATGATTATTAAACAGCGACGTGTACACTGAAATACCCATGGTCTGTCTGCCGTCGTCATAGAAGATCTTGTCTGTCTGTATGCTCTGTATTAGTCTGCTCTTCCAGGAAATTTCGAAGACACCTGAAGAGCCAGTCTCAGGGGGCGGGTCAAGGTTGGGATGGGTAGGGCATGGGCCAAGATGTACGAAACACACGTGAACTAGGCTAAGCCCCGCCCACTGTGGGCGGCGCGTGCGCATAGTTGTGAGCTTCATATTCAAAAATTCGTAGCTCGGTTCCAAAAAAGCCCCGAGAGCGAGGAGAAAAGTGGGCAAACGATAGGCAATCAGTTCGCGGACGAAACGACTGAAACAAACCCATTCTGTGCAGGGAGTTCTGTAGGTAAGCGGTGCCTGCTATGAAAATTTCAAAAATTCGTAGTTGGGTTCCAAAAGAGCTCGGAGAGGTAGTCAGGGGTGGCCAAACGATAGGCAATCAGTGGCCGACGGAATTTAATTGACAGACACACCACCTAATTGGGCAGAGGTTCGCCAAACGTGGACGAGTGCGAGGACCGAAAAACAACCCCCGAAACTCATCCGAAAAAAACCCCACGAAATGGGGAGTGAGCTGAAACTAAACAGTGGTATGGCAGATGAACATAGTGAGGGATAATCGTAGGGAGTATCCAAATGGTTGGTACCGTCGGCAATAGTTTGCAGTGCCGCATAGAAAATTTTGATGACTGTCTACTAGGGAGGAGGGGGGGTGTATATACTAGAAGTGAAACGGTAAAGTGCGGTAATTCTCAAATGATATTTTTTCGACCATTCGGCCGGCGAAGCCGGCCGATCCGACTGGTCGATAATAAGTGACAAGGGCTGATGAGGGACGTTGCGGTCGTTGTTCGAGTTGTTGGAGCTTTTACACTGCCAAATTGTAAACATGTAGTAATGAGGACATTTATGGTGGGTGACAAGTGATAATATCAGTTATTAAGAATAGATAGAATCATCCTCATTACATTTCATACTACTCACCACTATTCCGTCAAATATTTGTGGCCCGGTGAGCGAATTGTTTTCTTTAACCACCACGATGTCAACGGAATCGTAATAAATTGAACTACAAGCTATTATTAGCTGAATGTTAACGATGTCGAGTAGGGGAAAGGGAGGAGGGGTAAGTGGTGATTGATGTAGAGAATTGTCAACTCATTTTTCCTTAATTACTCTGCACAGTTGGCGCATTCCGCGCGGTCTAGCTCGCCTAGTATAAGAGCGCTTGGCGAAGCGAGGCCGCGACGTAGGAGGAGCGTCTGATGACAACTGGGTGATCCGGCCAATTCACTTAGAAGCAGCGCCTGCGTTCATTTGATGTTCCTACTCCTTCCTTAGGTGTCGTAGCTTTGTCGAAAGGATGTACCAATTTCGCAGCTCAAAAATACGAGAGGATGGCGCCACTCCGCTTGTGAAGAGGATGCCGCCCCGCCCACCTGGCTGCCATGCTTTGGCTTAGCCTTTAAAGGCTGAGCCCGCTTTCAAGAATAATGAGTTATGGAGCTCATATAATACGTGATCCAGTAGTGAAGAAAAAAGCAGAAAAAAAATCATGGAAAATGCCCTATATAGAACCCTATGCTGGCCAGGTGGGCGGGGCGGCCGACTCTTCACTAGCGCCTCATTTTTGAGATGCAAAACTAGTACATACTGCATCCTCATAGGGAGGGCTATGATATCCAGAAAGGACGCGGGAACATCAGATGAACGTGGGTGCTGCCTTCAAATTAGCTTTAAGAGCACGACTGCAATTTGTAGGGAGCAGGGCTCGAGAATGAAGGCGTTATATCAACTAACTTCCCAGTAAAAAAAGCAAATGCATCCTCTGAAATCAGCCCAAACAAGCCAGGATGGCGTGAGGAGGGGCAGGTCCGCCTCCGTAGAAGAGTGAGACTTCCACTATAAGGTTGCGGAGCTGGACTAACTGGATCTTCTTGTATGCTCCAACGACTATTCGGTGCGCTATTCGCACGATGTACAAGGCGATTGCTAGCCATAGTGGCCATGGTTAAGCGATGGCTTGGCTGGCCTTGCGGCGTGTTGCGTGTCCGTGATCTGCTAGTGGTAGCAATCGAATGGAGGGTGGAGAAATGATATGCGGCTGAAACCACTCTCGTTATTTTCGCTCATTTTCGAATTGCAATCAAGTAACTTCGATTCAACTTTCATTTATTCTACGAAAGAAATCCTTTTTTCGAATTGGGCGATTCCAGATGGGGAAAACGCGAAGTTACCAGGCACTACGAGTCGCTCTCACAGATTACGAAGCACAGAACATACGAGGTATCCAGGAAGTTTTATTTTCTCCAGTATCCATTCATCTACAAAGAATGGAGCGGACACTAAGTGAATTCCAGGGCGACATTCGCATCAAAGATTGCGATGAACATGGTACGCAAGTGGTCATTGAGAATGCCGGTGTAGTCGAGGTTAATTTTAATTGTAGCCTAGAGTTAGTACCATCTCTTTAGGAGTTATTTTTTTCTCCTGCTTAACTTGTCCATCTTTCTGGTATGTACTTGAGATGATGAAAAATAATTTAGCATCGTCTAAGTGGCTTCCGTGTGAGCCGTGTAGTAGACGGCATGGAGAGATCTTTCACGTTCCCGCCACAATTCGTCCTCCACGCGGGACAAACCGTACTGGTAAGTAATACACATTTTTTTTCTTTCTTTG